GCCCCTGGCCCACACACGAGCTCTGATGTAAATGAATGGATTGAGGTATCTACCACCAGAGGGTGGGAATACCCAAAAAGGGGGCTGAAGTAATTCATTGGGCAAATGTGGGCAGGGCTGCTGGGAGGGAGCTGTGGGCTCCCTGCAGGGTATCCGGTCTCCCTGGTGACACTTTCCTTACTGGGAACACAGATCCTTCAGGCCCTGTTAGCACTGGGGTCATGCCATCTACGTGTTTCCTTGTCCTGCCCTGCAACGGCTCCCCTGCACCTGCTCACAGAGAGACCACGCTGTCGAGCTCCTGGGAAGCTGGTCCTGGCCATGGCTGATCCAACCAACACCCCGCTCTGAAGTGCAACCTTGTGACCTGATTCCTGTGACTCTTTCTCTGGCCAACAGAGATTTTTCAGAGATTAAGAAGGAGCCAACCTCAGGACTATGGTGGCATCACCTCGTAAGGCCCTGCGGGGCCCTGTGTTCAAGGTTCCTTTAGCAGCAAGTGGCAAACCCAGTTCACACTGACATAAATTTAAAAGGAGTTACTGTCAGTACTAGCATTTCCCCTGGAGCCTTGGGGAGACTGCAGCAGGGACTGGGAGAAGGACAGTAATGACTAAAAACTCTGGCTCTCTTACTGCAAAGCAGACCACTAAGAAATTTAGTGGGTTAACAGGACAACGATCACTTGCTCACAAACCTATAACCTGCAATTTGGGCAGAAGTCAGCAGGGCAGGCTCATTTCTGCCCAAACAAAAGATCGGAGGGTCTATTTCCAATGTGACCACAGCTGACTATTGGGTGCTGGCTTTGATCACAGCAGTGCTGGGTTCCAAGGACGTGCACACCTAAAGAGAGTGGCACAGGCTGTTTCTCCTTTTACAGACCAACTTCAGTGGCTACGCAGCACCATTTCCCCTGAGCTCACACAGTCACACAGGCTTCCTGATCCAAGGGAGAGGATGACCTGACACCCTCTCCTGATGAGGGGGTGGTAAGGTAAGGTTCTGCAAGAGCAGGTGGCACTGGAAATATTTTTGTGGCCATCTTTGGAAAATATAATCTGCCATAATAAGGAACAAAAAACCACCGGGAATCAAGGCAGTCACTCTCCATAGCATGTGTACGTGCATGTGTGTGAATGCACGTGTGTGTGAGTGTGTGAGTGTGAGTGTGCATGCGTGCATGTCTCAGCCCAGCTCTCCCCTCCCTCCCTGCTCTTTCTGGTCACACGGCCTTTGCCTGTGCTTCATTCTGTCCTGTCCGTGCTCATGGCCACAGCTCAGCTCCTCAGCTTTGAGCCTCAGTTCTTCCCACCTTCCCAGAATCCCTTGCACCTTCCTTTGGGAGCAGCACCCTCACCTCATTTCCTTTGGGAAACTTCCCAGTGAATCTTTCCCTCAGTCTTCCTGGCCAACAGGTAGTGGCACATGACTGGAGTCTCTCTCCCGGGAATTGGACAGGAGTGAAGAATCTCAGGGGCTGGAAGCTGGTAACAGTTCCATCTGTAGAACACAGCTCTGGAAGCACCTGCTGCCCAGGCCTTGTTCCCAAACCCCAGAAGCAGCCTTACCAGTGGCTGCTGTCAACTCTGCAAGCTCCCGGAAGTTTTCTATTAAGTACCTTTTGGCTTATATTAGCCAAAATTAGTTTCTGTTACTTGCAAAGAACCCTGATAAATGTCTGTATTTAGTTACACAAGTTCTGTAGCCATATATGACCCCTTCCACAACTCCAAATGACTGGGTGCTGAGCTGGGGAGAGGGCTATCTAGGGCCTGATCAGCAGTGATCCTTTCTCAGGCAAAGGACACCATCTCAGACTGGGAAAATGCTCCAGAAGGTGCCTCATCGATGCACTCCCATTTAATGTTTACAGTGTTCACACCCCCATGTTACAGACGCAGTAACCGAGTGACAGAGAAGGCAGAGCTCAGATTTCACAAAACACTGTCTGACCCTATAGGTTGTGCTTCCTCCAAGGCCCTTAGAGTTCCCCTAAAAGTCAGGTACCCAACTGACCTCCCAAAAATGCAGCCCCAACTCACCCTGATCCAGCAGCAGCTCAGAAAATCCTGATGAGGCAGAGAGACTGAGAGAAGAAGATGTGTTTTTTGTGGCAGTGCTTTAGAGACACAACTGCTCAGCCATCGCTGTAGATCAACTGGCTCCAAGTCACGCAGCCTCTCATGGCAAACAAATGCTGATAAGCTCCTGCCCCAGAGAACAACATTGACGATGGGGGAAAAGCTCAATCCTGTGTTTACAGAGTTAAAGATCCTTAAGTCAGGCCATGGTCAGAGCTGCCAGAGACTCTGCGTGTATGATCAGATGCACCCTTCCTCACTGGATGGACTCCATGCCACAAATGGGACCACTGGCTTCATGGATGCTTAAGCTACTGGGCTCATCTTCAGAAGGTGCCCATGTGATTTGGTGACAAATCCTACCAATTTGTCAATACACTTGTCTCCAGTTTAAAAGCCAATTGTTGGAGGGATTGTTGGCAAATAAGGAAGTTGCTGTTGATGCAAAATTATTCAAAGCACAATTCTGCTCTCTGGATGCTACTTCGTGCTCAGACCTGAGTGAAGAACTTCCCGTGCATTGTTCCTTTGCTCCTCACAAGCGCTGGAGGAGATGGATATTATCATTGCCTCCATTCTATAGAGGAGGCAGCTGAGCCCCAGAGAGGCTAACTCACTTGCCACAGTCACCCTGACAATAGGCCAAGCCACGCTAGTTAAGTTGCAAGTAACTTTATGCTTATGTCCAAATTTAGTATAAAAAATAAAGGGGATTTCTTGGCATTTGTAACTGGAAAATCCAAACTCGAGAGCTGATTTGATTCCCAACACAATCATCAAGGGTCTCATTTCTTCTCATCTTTCCTGTCTGTTTCATTGGCAAGGGGTTCCCCCTCAGGGTAGCAAGATGGCTGCAGCAGCACCATCCGCACAGCAAGGTCCAGAAGGGAAAAGAAGCCTCCTTTCCCAGAATCTCCCAGCAAACACCTTCTCCAGGTTCAGTGACAATAAATGAGCCTCCCACCACCCTCAACTGTGCTTAGGGCAATACAGTGCCTGTCGTGTGCCCCTTAGAGCCAGGGGCAGGTCCCTAACCTCCCTAAACCCCAGAACACAGAGGATATAAAAGCCAGTGTTGCCTCCAAGAAAAGGGAGAGTGAATGCTGGGCAGGGCACATCACTACTGGAAGGTTGTGGAGCAATGATTTGAACCCAGGCCTATCTACTCATTCCAACAGTATTTACTAAGCCCTTGCTATGGGTCAGGCACAATTTTAGATGCTACAGACACAAGCCTAGAAGGTCCCTGCCCTCCTACCCTTCTACTACAGGCTCTGTTGCCTCTCAAGCTCTACATTTTTAAAAGGATTTGGAGTTGGAAATCTTTCCAACTCCTGGTTGGTTCTCCTAACCAGCTTTTCTAGATTTGAATTGATTCTGTGACTCCAGGGTTACTTAATTCCTGTCTCTTAGCCTCCTCATCTATAAAATCAGGAATAAAAATACCTCCCCCAAAGAGTTATACAAAAGAAATGAAAAGGGCTTAGATGGGAAATGAGGAAACTTTTAAAGCAGCACAACACCCAACCTACTGGACAGGGAGTAAGTCAACTCATTTCCTTTCCATTCATGCTGTGATTTGGAATTTTGTACAGTAAATCCTAATATCACTACCACGGGGTCTATAAAGCCATTTTAGTGTGACTACTACTTCAAAGATGCTCATTCACCCCCTCTACTCAGCCTCCAATTTATCTTTTTAATAATCCAAACTTTCCACCTACTTAACTGAAGTGGGGGGTGGCCTAAATAATCCACCCAGTATCTAAACTTGTCCTGAAATCTGAGGCCAAGTGTTCTCAGGAATGCAAGCAAAGGGAGCCAAAAGGGCACCAAAAAAGTACAGGTTAAACTACATTTAATCTAGCCACACTCAGAAGGTTCTCCTGTCTTTGCAATGAATTATTCAGCCTCAGACCAGCAGATGGAGCTGAAAATTTTGTGTCTGAAGAAATCGAATTATTAACTTTTTGAAATTTACACTCTACAATTTCTCAAGTGTCCACACGAAATGGTTCCTTTCTGTTGAGCCTGTTGCTCTTAACAGTCAGTAAAATTTCAGCCCTCATTCCACAACAGCTGAAATGCAGCTCATTTGGATGCTTAAGAACAGAATTACACCACCAATCTATCTCTGGACCAGAGTTGGAGCCCCTCAATTCACAGGACACCAGAAGGTAGACTGCCATAGTTTCCCTTTGGCATCCTTCTGTCACTTTCCAGCCTTACCCACATCCTCAACCTCGCCGTCACCTCTTCTCTCACTTTCAGTTATTACGTTTCCATTTGACTAAAGTTGGTTTGCCTCTGTGTTCATTAAGATGTCAACTCTAAGAGGCTTAAACTGCAAAGAAGAGTGATCAGCTCAAGTGCTTGACCGTGAAGACCTCCGCAGGGGCTCGGCCGGCCTCCCGGAACCGCGGAGTTGAACATCTTCGGAGCTCCCGCGGGACCTCCTGGCGTCCCACATGCTGTGGCTGATTGAAAGCCTTAGTGGGATCAGTCTGCTGTTTCTCGTGCTATTCTGCGGCTGTTTCCCGTGACTGCATCAAGTTGTTAAATTTCATGACTTTTCTCACTAAAATCACTCCAATACAGGTGAATGGGAGGCGAGCACCCCCTCGCCATCCATCGCAGCGAAGCGAAAAGACCTCCACCATGCTAAGTAGAGCCGACACTAACCCCAGTTCCGGGGGCGGAACCTGGGAGCTCTCATTCATCACGGATCCCACCTAACCAATCGCGCTGGAGTCTGTAACCTGGTTAGACCAATGAAAAATCGCGCGCGGATCTGCCGGGCTCTTCTGGGAAGGTGCGACTCCGGAAGCCACCCCCTCCTACGAGCCACACCTGGGCGGAGCTAGCCTCCCGGCCCGCCGGCCTGCTGACTGACCCAGCTGCCAGTCACGGGGAGGCGGGAGCGGGCAGTTCCGGGGCGCTCGCGTCTGTGCGGACCCCGGCTGGATGCCCGCGGGAACCGGCGTAACGGCGCCGAAACGTCCCCAGGCTCAGGAGCCCCGGCGACCGGGGCAGAGCGTCCGGGGAGGAAGAGAAGAGGAGAAGGGCGGCTCGTCCCGCGTCCCCGCCGAGGGCTCGGCAGACCCACCCCGTGACCCGGGCCGGCCCCTTCGTGAAGCTGTGGCCCGCGCTGGGGGCGCCTCGATTGTAGGCGCCGCGGCCGGCGCCGCCCCGAACGTCACCGCGCAGGTAGGTTGCCGCCCCCGCCCGGCAGCTGGGGACCCACGGCCTGCGCGGAGGGCCCTTGAGACAGTCCCCACGTGCATCCTTCACGCCCTCCCGGCATTGTCAAGAATGGGACGCGGGTTTGCCCTTTGTCCACGTGGTACCCTTGCGGTCTGCATTAGGGTTTTGCCCGTGCAAAAGGCGTGGCAGCAAATTTGCTTTTCGAGGAGGAGAGGAGCGTCCCCGCATGGAGCAGTTTTCGGGTGGGAAGGTGGCTGGGAAGAGCGTGCCTCTGTCAAGTGAGTAAAGGCGACTCGCTGCCGGAAATGAGGCCTGCGCAGCTGTGGCAGCTTCTCTGGTCCGGCTCCAGAACTCCATGGTGTGGGCCGCCGAGAGAAAGAGGCGATCTTTACAGCCTCTTATTTACTCCACGTATTTCACAGTCTTCTTATTCTTTTTCTTTCTGATTTGACAGACACGGGCAGGCCATTAGTCCCATAGATAACTGAGAACCAAAAGTGGAAGTGGTCATTTTATTGGGTATGGGGGGCGTGGCGGATTGTTAGATTGCGGGAGGTAGAATGCAAGCTGGGAGCAGGGCTGGAGAAGAGGGGCGTCTCAGAGACGGAATTGAGGTGATGAGGTGCTCTGGGAGGGACAGAGGAGTGACGGGGAGGTCGGGTGCTTGGGAATTCCAGCGAGAGAGAAATGGGGCCCCTGGAGGCAATTTCCAAGCCAGCAGTCCTAGAGCTGTGTTCCTACAGACTTGATTTCAAAAGTGCAGGAACTTACAAAATAAGCAAGTAAAAGGACAGCATAGTTTTGATAAAATTTTCAGGGCCCCTCACGTTCTTACAGGTGATAAATCAGGAGTGTACTTACTGTCGTGGCCTTGGTCTAGCTCTAAGTTTCCCTTTTCCCGTTTGTAAAACTGTTCAGTAATAATCTCCTCATCCATTTGTGATGAGGTTTAAGTGAGGTAATGTATGTAAAGCACTTAGCAAAAACAATCAACCCTCCTCCTTATGCCTGGGTTCTGCATCTGTGGATTCAACAAAATGGATTGAAAATATTCAGAAAAAAAAAATTCGTCTGTACTGAACATGTACAGACTTTGTCATTATTTTCTAAACAGTACAGTATAACAACTATTCACATGGCCTTTACATTGTGTTAGATATTATAAGTAATCTAGAGATGATTTAACACATTAATGGCCATGAGAGTTGTATTTAACTCACTCTAGTTTTGACCCTAGGGCCATGTGAAGCATATATAAAATCTTCTTGATGTTCTTATTGTTATAATTAGTATTGACAATGTAATTCTAAAAATGTGGATTAAATGAATAGAAGTCAATAAATTTAGTTTTTCTATTTATGTTTACTTTTAAATTACAGTTGAAGTTTTTATTCTATTTTCGTAATAAAACAGTGTGGCCCCAAGAAAAAGTTTCCGATTTTTTTGTGTGGCTGTCAATGTAAAATATATGGGAGGATGTGCGTAGGTTATAGGCAATTACTGCACCGTTTTATATCAGGGACTTGAGCATCTGCGGATGTTGGTGTCTTTGTGAAGTCCTTGAACCAATCCCCCACCGATATCAAGGGACACCTGTACCCGGTTCAGAGTGTTTATTGAGGCTTAACTTTGAGGTCCTTGCAGGGAGTAGAAAGACCAGCATCTGAGATTGCCTCTTACTGCTCATGTCTAGGACCAGGCTTCCTCCCAGCTCTTCGCTGGAGGCAATGCTACCACCTTTCTCAACCCCTAAGAGTACCCCTTTCCCAGCCCTGTGTGGACTCTTATCTTTTTCATAAGCTGATATTTAAGGAAGGAAATAGGACATTTCAGCTACAATTGGAAGTCTTGAATTCTTTCTCTTGTGGCATTGTAGCTCCATGGGATTTATCTGGTGGGTGGGTATTAGCACCCATAGAAGCTAGGTGTCATCCCTTCTAATTCCCACTCATCCACAGGGTTTGCTGCTTATAGCTTTTTATGGGGATTATGGCCACTGTTTTGGTCCTGGCCTCATGGCTTTTGTTGTTTTACCCTCTTAAGAAGCCTGCCTTCTCTTTGCCCTCCCAGTCCCTGTTGGGTGGCTCACGACAGGCTTCCCCAGACTCACCAGCTGACGAGCATATTTCATTGATCTGACTGGCCTTTATTGGGTTGATGGCCCCTCTTCCCTTCAACTTGGTCCACTGTCTTTACTCATGGGCAGTCACACCTGTTCCAAGCTTCCAGGAAAGGGTGGCCTTCCATAGTCAAATATACTCTATTTTATAATATGAGATTTTTAAAATTTGTAGTACAATTGGCCCTCCTTATCCACGTGGGATTGGTTCCAGGATCCTTCATGGATACCAGATCCCATACATGCTCAAGTTCCTTATATAAAATGGCATAGTATAGTCGGCCCTCTGTATTTGTGGGTTTTGATCCACAATTGGTTGGTTCCTCCAATGTGAAACCTGATACAGAGGGCCAATTGTAGTACGAACATGTAGGTATCAAGCTTTTTAACTGAGCACTTGATGCACACTTTCTCATCTAATTCTCGTATTACAGCTATGCCACAGTGGTGATATTCCCTTTTTACAATGAGCAAACAGAGGCTTTTACAGTTTGTAACTGTTTTGCCACTGGTAGGAAAGGAAGATTGTTCCATCATCAGAGCAGAATGAACTTTGGCATTCACATGGGTTCTTTTCTACCTACAGCCCTTGGCTCCCCAAGTCACAGGAAACACCCTGGTGGAGGTCTCAGTCCACAGAACCAGAGATGGCATCCGTGGATTTCAAGACCTATGTGGATCAGGCCTGCAGAGCTGCCGAAGAGTTTGTCAACGTCTACTACACCACCATGGATAAGCGGCGGCGTTTGCTCTCCCGCCTGTACATGGGCACAGCCACGCTGGTTTGGAATGGAAATGCCGTTTCAGGACAAGAATCCTTAAGTGAGTTTTTTGAAATGTTGCCTTCCAGTGAGTTCCAGATTAACGTGGTAGACTGCCAGCCTGTTCATGATGAAGCCACACCAAGCCAGACCACAGTCCTCGTTGTGATCTGTGGAACAGTGAAGTTTGAGGGCAACAAACAACGGGACTTCAACCAGAACTTCATCCTGACCGCCCAGGCCTCACCCAGCAACACCGTGTGGAAGATTGCAAGTGATTGCTTCCGATTCCAGGACTGGGCCAGCTCGTAGCTGCTTCAGCCCCGGCTCTGTAGAGACACTCACATCTCGAATCTCGGATATAGGGGACACACATTCATTTCTGTCCTTGCAGGGACACTGCGCTGCGGCTGAACTCTTTGGAGGTTGCTCGAGTTCTAGGAGCCCCTTTCCTGAGTATACTTTTTTGTCATAGTTTCCTTTTAAAAGTAGTAAACTTTTCTATTTTTCTACTTGCCCAGTGGAGACCCTGATTCTGGAAATTCCGACAAATAATATAATAATACAAATGTTGCTACTTCCCTTTGCCTGATGTTTTGACTACGTTTTGAGGAGGGTTAAGGGCCAAAAGCATAGTAGAAAGCTCCTGCAGAGGTGTGAGGTCCAGGACTGAGCACCTACCCCAAACACAGGCGTGCACACAGGTGACCTGGAGCTGTGGTTCACAGCCCTCTGCACATTAGAATCGCTTGGGATACTGAAAATTACCTATAACCAGGACACACTCCAGACCAACTATGCCCAAATTTCTGAGGGTAGTACTGGGCATTAGCATTTTTCCAAAGCGGCCTAGTTGTCTTAATGCATAATTCACCTTAAGGTACATCAGAATCACCTAACAGAGATGTCTGGGCCATACCTTAGTACCTTAGCTGAGAGTTAAATGGTGTGAACAGATGAAAGACTAAAAAGTTAGCTAATAACCGCTTATAAATGAAGCAGTCATATTGAACTCTCTTAGAAAGTGAGCCTGGGCAACATAGACCCCAATCTCTAAAAAAAATTTTAGAAATGAACCAGGTGTGATGGTGTGTGCCTGTAGTCCCAGCTACTTAGGAGGCTGAGGCAGGAGGATCGCTTGAGCTCAGAAGTTCAACACTGCAGTGAACTATGACTGCATCACTGGGTGACAGCAAGACCCTGTCTCTAAAAATAAATAATAAAAGAGAGAAAGTGACCGAGCACTGATTCTAAGAGGAAGAAGCACTGGAGTAGTAGGGGGCGTGGGGAGCTCATCAGAATTAGAAGCTACTTTTATGAGCCCTAAAGGCCAACCCTAATTGCATTTCTCCAATGTAAAGAAAGAATAGAAAACCCTGTAGAAGGTTCCAGCATCCTCGAACCAATAGATGACATCTTGTCACCCTGTGGCTTCCCCAATCTTTGATAAGAGTCTAGGTTTGGGGTAGGGTTGTGAGTTAGGATATCGGAATGGAAAAATTTGAGACGGAAAGCGTCCTGACACGTACAGTGGCACAGATCGCAGTTTCCTCTTCATCCCCCACCCCTTCTTAACTACTTCTAAAGCCCAGTGTTTCAAGGGGCAAGGGCCCCACCTAAGAAACTTGACTTTCCAGTTAAATTTATAGCTAGGTTTGACACATGATTAAGTTCTGGCCAATGAAGTAGAAAGAGACTGGACTTATGGGGATTTTGCTTCAACAGACCATTCTTCCTCACTTCTCTGTCCTGCTGACGGGAAGCAGTTACAGTGGCCATACCACTGGCTCTGGCTCAGTCTTGGGCCACAAGGGCAGCTCACCTATACACTCAAGGTAGGATCCTGTTGAGCTAGAAGGAGCCTGGGTCACTGGTTACTGTGTGGAACCACCAAAATAGCCCCAGTTCACCTACTCGAAGACTTCTTTTAAAATGAGAAATCCCATTTTAAGCCCTTATCAATTTGGGGCATGTATCATACATGGTAGCAATTATCCTAAGTAAGGAGAAAGATTCGCAATAGGGGCAGAATGTGTTTACTGTAGGTGTGGCTTCACCATGGCACTCTGGGCAATCAGTGGGCTTGGCTCAGGTGTGTGCCTTGCAGCAAGAGTGTCCTAATCTAATTAGGAGACAAGACATTGAAACAGGAAATTAGGTAAATTCAGTTTCTAAGTTCCACTTAAAGAGCGGCCAAAGGAGTTATACAGACTTGTGCACAGCAAGCTGAGACAAGCAGTTCAACTGAGACATTAGTAAAATGCGTGTGAGGTGCCAAAGTGAGGCTCCAAACCAAGATGTAGAATTGTCTGAGAAGCCACACTGTCCGGCAGGAAGACCTGCAAGGAAGGAGAGAGGAGTGGGTGGGGAGGATCTGCAGAGAGTGGTCTGGAGGGAGATGCTGCTGGGTTTTGAATCTCAGCCCCTACCCCTCCCAAGGGGCAAGGGGGGACACCGCCTTCCTTATCTCAAGCCTGGATAGTACTCCTTCCTGGACTCTGTGAACCACATTGGCCAGAGATGCCTGAGGACAACAGGCTTCTTAACCTCACTCCAAATTAAATTAGCAGGAACAGGTGTGTACGTTCCCAGCTTGGAACAGGCGAAATTCAGAAGATTCTTGCTTTCCCAGCGTCCAGGAATATCTGGATCTGAGTTAACGTGATTCACAAGGACTTCTCAGCTTTGCTCCTTGTCCATTTCACATACCCCTGCCCCTCCCCCATTTCTCTTTAGGCAAAATCCCCCAAGCCACTTTCCCCTTCTTCCCTCCCCTCCTGCCACCCCCTGCCCTGGCTCCTGCCCCTCTCACCACTGCCCAGATCAACCTACTACTGCCCTGCCAGAGTGGCCTTCCTTAAACCCAAACCAAAGAAACCAACAGACCTTGCTGTCACCTCCTCCTGGCCACTGGGTCACCCCTGAGCTACGGAGCAGGCCCAGGGACCTCGAGAAGTGAACTCAGAGAGTGAAGCACAGAGAGAGAGAGGGAGATGTCTTCTCTTTTTTCTATGTGACAGCCTTTTTTTGTTTGTTTTGGACCAGAAAAAATGCACTTGACATTCTTTTTGAGGTTAGTCCTCATTGTACTTTTACCCAAAATCATGTATCTTCATTTGTGTAATCTCTATTTCGAGTTCTTTATTGTTGTATCTTAGCCAAATTCATAAACCTTGATTCTGCTGTAATCTGTATTTCACTTTAGGAAAGACATGAGATATTTTAAAATGTCGCCATGCTGCCTTGTTGGAAAACTGCTGAAAACAGTGCATACCCTTAATGGTGAGAGTAAAATTCATGTTTTGCCCAGTTGTCCTTGTGCTCTGCAATGATAGAGACAAGGACAGAGAAACCGGACTCACATGCAGGCTTCCGGGGCTCCCCAGGACCCGGCACTCCCCTCTCTGGCTCCTCTTTCGTCTCCACCCCCACCCCCTGGTCGCGCGGGGTCTCTGCCCTGGAGGAACTGCGCAGTAGGAAGCTCCTAAGGATCTGTCCTGAAGGTTGGACTTTGGGAGCAAAGCATTGTGTCCCCAACGCTGGAGGGCTGGAGGCACACCTCCAGCCAGAATTCCGGCCACAGAACGAAACCTTTAAAAATGCCCGGGGGGTGGGGGGTGAGGACGGTTGTCCCTGCGCTGGCCAGTGTCTGTCCTCCCCGCCCCCGCCCTTCTCTCTCTTGTACCCTGTCGGGGGAGGAGCGGAGGTAGGGGAAGGAAGGGGAGGCCGCCTGCACTCGACTGGGGCTCAGGGCGGCGCCCGGGCATCACCTCCGAGGTCGCTGCTGGTGGAGGATGCGGCGCCCATGGAGGACTCGGGGCCGCCTGTCCCCAGGCCCGGCGCCCGCGTCTGTGCAGCAGGCTTCCCGCACCCAGGACTCCCCACCGGCGCCTGCCACGCTAACAAGACGCGTAATCCAGAGCTTGTTTCGAGGGGTCACGTTCTGGCCCGGGCGACCACAGCACGACGAATAAGGACAATGAGTGATGCCTGTGAAAGTCGAAATGGAGCAGACTCAGGGACCGGGCGGCCGAGGGGTGTCATTTTGAACAAGACCCCGGGAAGCCATCGAGAGAAGGTGAATTTTGAGGAAAAACTCAAGGGCGAGCGGGCGCAGCCTGGGACTACAGGGCCGGATCTCCAGGCAGAGGGAACGGCCAATGCAAAGGCCAGGTGCAAAAAGGGACGGCAAATGAAGGAAGGAGGAAAACAGCGTCGACCTAGAGAACCCGGGGACGGTCCTGCTTCCCACCCCTCGAGTCTACCTCAAAAGTTTAAAAAATCAATTGTGTTGAGGAGTGATCACAAATAACACCCAGTTCCAGTTTGTTTTTTGGTTTTTTTTTTTTTATACTGGCCGAAGTCCACAAACCTTATGGTGTCTAATAAGGGAAGAGGAGGCATTCATCTTCTCTGTGTTTCACCCTCTTTAGTTCACTGCACCTTCCAGGTCCTGGAGGGGTGACAACGAGATCTGTTGGTTTCTTTGGTTTGGGTTTGATGAAGGCCATTCTGGCAGGGGAAGGGGTGGGCAGCAGGAGCAGAGGGCAGAGGTGGGTTGATCTGAGGAGGGGTGAGGCCCTGACAGGGTGGGGTAGGAGGGGAGGAGGAGAAGGCAGAGTGGCTTGGAGGATTTTGGCTAAAGAGAAATAAGGGAGGGGCAGGGCGCAGTGGCTCACGCCTGTAATCCTAGCTCTCTGGGAGGCCGAGGCGGGCGGATTGTTTGAGCTCAGGAGTTCTAGACCAGCCTGAGCAAGAGCTAGACCCCATCTCTACTAAAAATAGAAATTAATCGGCCAACTAAAAATATATAGAAAAAATTAGCCGGGCGTGGTGGCTCGTGCCTGTAGTCCCAGCTACTCTGGAGGCTGAGGCAGGAGGATCGCTTGAGCCCAGGAGTGTGAGGTTGCTGTGAGCTAGGCTGATGCCATGGCACTCACTAGCCAGGGCAACACAGTGAGACTCTGTCTCAAAAAAAAAAAAAAACAAAAAAAAAAATAAGGGAGGCAGCAGAGGGGGTTGAAATGGACAACGAGCAAAGCTGAGAAGTGTGTGTGAACCATGTTAACTGAAGTCAGCATAAGAGCCTTGTGACCTTGGCCCTGTGACTGGCCTTCTCTGGGTTTCAATTTTCCATTTTATAAAATAGGGCTAAGACTAGCAACGGCCTCCCAGGGAGGCTCTAAGGGTTAATGGAGATCATTCACATAGAGTGCCCAGCCCTCCCCCCTTTTTTTCCTCTCTCAGTAGACATGGGGTCTTGCTATGTTGCCCAGCCTTCTCTTTTTTAATATAAGCATTTACATGGGCACAGTGGTTTGTGCCTGTAATCCAACCACAATTGGAGGCTGAGGCACAAGGATTGTTTGAGGTCAGGAGTTCAAGACCAGCCTGAGCAACATAGCAAGACCCCATCTCTACAAAAAAAATAGAAAAAATTAGCCAGGCATGGTGGCACATGCCTGTAATCCCAGCTACTCAGGAAGCTGAGGCAGGAGGATCAGTTGAGCCCCAAGAGTTTGAGGCTGCAGTGAGCTATGATGACACCACTGCACTCTAGCCCAGGCAACTGAGACCCTG